TAGCCCATTGCGCCACGGAGACAGTCTTGCTCATCTCTCACCACCATCAGATCATATCATCAAAGCTATCAGCCCAAAGAAAAAAAAGCACCGCACCACCACCGGGTGGGATCGAACCTCCAACTTTTCGGTTAACAGCCGATCGCGCTGGCCAATTGCGCCACGGAGACAGTCCTGCTCCACTCTCACCACAATTAGAACATATCTTCAAAGCTATCAGCCCAAAAAAAAGCGCCGCACCACAACCGGGTGGGCAGAAACCTCCAACCTTTCAGTTAACAGCAGATCGCGCTAGCCAATTGCGCCACGGAGACAATCGTGCTCCACTCTCACCACCATCAAAACATATCTTCAAAGCTATCAGCGCAAAGAAAAAAAAGCGCCGCACCACCACTGGGTGAGCTCGAACCTCCAACCTTTCGGTTAACAGCCGATCGCGCAAGCCAATTTTGCCATGGAGACAATCCTGCTTCACTCTCACCACCATCAGAACATATCTTCAAAGCTATCAGCCCAAAGAAAAAAAAGCGCCATACCACCACCGGGTGGGCTCGAACCTCCGACCTTTTGGTTAACACCGATCGCGCTCGCCAATTGCGCCATGGAGACAGTCCTGCTCCACTCTCACCACCATCAGAAGATATCTTCAAAGCTATCAGCCCAAAGAAAAAAAGCACTGCACCACCACCGGGTGGGCTCGAACCTCCAACTTTTCGGTTAACAGCCGATCACGCTAGCCAATTGCGCCACGGAGACAGCCCTGCTCCACTCTCACCACCATCAGAACGTATCTTCAAAGCTATCAACCCACAGAAAAAAAAGCGCCGCACAACCACCGGGTAGGCTCCAACCTCCAAATTTTCGGTTAACAGCCGATCGCGCTAGCCAATTGCGCCACGGAGACAGTCCTGCTCCACTCTCACCACCATAAAAACATATCTTCAAAGCTATCAGCCCAAAGAAAAAAAAAGCACCGCACCACCACTGGGTGGGCTCGAACCTCCGACCTTTTGGTTAACAGCCGATCGCGCTAGCCATTGCGCCACGGAGACAATCCTGCTCCACTCTCACCACCATCAGAACATATCTTCAAAGCTATCAGCCCAAAGAAAGAAAGCGACGCACCACCACCGGGTGGGCTCCAACCTCCAACTTTCCGGTTAACAGCCGATCACGCGAGCCAATTGCGCCACGGAGACAGTCCTGCTCCACTCTCACCACCATCAGAACATATCTTCAAAGCTATCAGCGCAAAGAAAAAAAAGCGCCGCACCACCACCGGGTGGGCTCGAACCTCCAACCTTTCGGTTAACAGCCGATCGCGCAAGCCAATTTTGCCATGGAGACAGTCCTGCTCCACTCTCACCACCATCAGAACATATCTTCAAAGGTATCAGCCCAAAAAAAGCGCCGCACCACCACTGGGTGGGCTCGAACCTCCGACTTTTCGGTTAACAGCCGATCGCGCTAGCCAATTGCGCCACGGAGACAGTCCTGCTCCACTCTCACCACCATCAGAACATATCTTCAAAGCTATCAGCCCAAGGAAAAAAAACCACCGCACCACCACCGGGTGGGCTCGAACCTCCAACTTTTCGGTTAACAGCCAATCGCGCTAGCCAATTGCGCCACGGAGACAGTCCTGCTCCACTCTCACCACCATCAGAACATATCTTCAAAGCTATCAGCCCAAAGAAAAAAAAGCGCCGCACCACCACTGGGTGGGCTCGAACCTCCGACCTTTTGGTTAACAGCCGATCGCGCTAGCCATTGCGCCACGGAGACAATCCTGCTCCACTCTCACCACCATCAGAACATATCTTCAAAGCTATCAGCCCAAAGAAAGAAAGCGACACACCACCCCCGGGTGGGCTCGAACCTCCAACCTTTCGGTTAACAGCCGATCGCGCTAGCCAACTGCGCCACGGAGACAGTCGTGCTCCACTCTCACCACCATCAGAACATATCTTCAAAGCTATCAGCCCAAAGAAAAAAAAGCGACGCGCCACCACCGGGTGGGCTCGAACCTCCAACTTTCCGGTTAACAGCCGATCACGCTAGCCAATTGCGCCTAGGAGACAGTCCTGCTTCACTCTCACCACCATCAGAACATATCTTCAAAGCTATCAGCCCAAAGAAAAAAAAAGCGCCATATCACCACCGGGTGGGCTCGAACCTCCGACCTTTCGGTTAACAGCCGATCGCGCAAGCCAATTTTGCCATGGAGCCAGTCCTGCTTCACTCTCACCACCATCAGAACATATCTTCAAAGCTATCAGCCCAAAGAAAAAAAAGCGCCATACCACCACCGGGTGGGCTCGAACCTCCGACCTTTTGGTTAACACCGATCGCGCTCGCCAATTGCGCCATAGAGACAGTCCTGCTCCACTCTCACCACCATCAGAAGATATCTTCAAAGCTATCAGCCCAAAGAAAAAAAGCACCGCACCACCACCGGGTGGGCTCGAACCTCCAACTTTTCGGTTAACAGCCGATCACGCTAGCCAATTGCGCCACGGAGACAGTCCTGCTCCACTCTCACCACCATCAGAACATATCTTCAAAGCTATCAACCCACAGAAAAAAAAGCGCCGCACAACCACCGGGTAGGCTCCAACCTCCGAATTTTCGGTTAACAGCCGATCGCGCTAGCCAATTGCGCCACGGAGACAGTCCTGCTCCACTCTCACCACCATAAAAACATATCTTCAAAGCTATCAGCCCAAAGAAAAAAAAGCGCCGCACCACCACTGGGTGGGCTCGAACCTCCGACCTTTTGGTTAACAGCCGATCGCGCTAGCCATTGCGCCACGGAGACAATCCTGCTCCACTCTCACCACCATCAGAACATATCTTCAAAGCTATCAGCCCAAAGAAAAAAAGCGACGCACCACCACCGGGTGGGCTCGAACCTCCAACTTTCCGGTTAACAGCCGATCACGCAAGCCAATTGCGCCACGGAGACAGTCCTGCTCCACTCTCACCACCATCAGAACATATCTTCAAAGCTATCAGCGCAAAGAAAAAAAAGCGCCGCACCACCACTGGGTGGGCTCGAACCTCCGACTTTTCGGTTAACAGCCGATCGCGCTAGCCAATTGCGCCACGGAGACAGTCCTGCTCCACTCTCACCACCATCAGAACATATCTTCAAAGCTATCAGCCCAAAGAAAAAAAACCACCGCACCACCACCCGGTGGGCTCGAACCTCCAACTTTTCGGTTAACAGCCAATCGCGCTAGCCAATTGCGCCACGGAGACAGTCCTGCTCCACTCTCACCACCATCAGAACATATCTTCAAAGCTATCAGCACAAAGAAAAAAAGCGCCGCACCACCCCCGGGTGGGCTCGAACCTCCAACCTTTCGGTTAACAGCCGATCGCGCTAGCCAACTGCGCCACGGAGACAGTCGTGCTCCACTCTCACCACCATCAGAACATATCTTCAAAGCTATCAGCCCAAAGAAAAAAAAGCGACGCGCCACCACCGGGTGGGCTCGAACCTCCAACTTTCCGGTTAACAGCCGATCACGCTAGCCAATTGCGCCTAGGAGACAGTCCTGCTCCACTCTCACCACCATCAGAACATATCTTCAAAGCTATCAGCCCGAAGAAAAAAGCAACACACCACTCCCGGGAGGGCTCGAAACTCCAACCTTTCGGTCAACAGCCGATCGCGCTAGCCCATTGCGCCACGGAGACAGTCTTGCTCATCTCTCACCACCATCAGATCATATCTTCAAAGCTATCAGCCCACAGAAATAAAAGCGCCACACAACCACCGGGTAGGCTCGAACCTCCGACTTTTCGGTTAACAGCCGACCGCGCTAGCCAATTGCGCCACGGAGACAGTCTTGCTCCACTCTCACCACCATAAGAACATATCTTCAAAGCTATCAGCCCAAAGAAAAAAAAGTGCCGCACCACCACTGGGTGGGCTCGAACCTCCGACCTTTTGGTTAACAGCCGATCGCGCTAGCCAATTGCGCCACGGAGACAGTCCTACTCCACTCTCACCACCATCAGAACATATCTTCAAAGCTATCAGCCAAAGAAAAAAAAGGGCCGCACCACCACCGGGTGGGCTCGAACCTCCAACCTTCGGGGGAAACGACGGTGGCTCGTTTCCGCCGAGCGCGGGAAGGGGAGGAGTCAACATCTGGAAGCAGTTTCAGCAACCGGTCCATCGCGGGTTCGGAGGCTCGCTCGTGACACAGGGGTGCTTAGAACACAACAGTATTTTATATTATTCATAGACAAGAATCAGGCACATTACTCAAAGCAGTTCTTTAGCATGATAGGTGAAAGTGTGCTTGCAAACGTACACAGAAAATGAGCAATTGATCATGAAAATGGAAAAAAGTAGGTTTATGTTCGGCAGAAACAAATCGCATTCAGTAAAGACAGGCCAAGATACTACATTGATAAGTCTCTAAATTTCAAGTGGATCACTATTCTTCACACTATACAAGTACTTACAAGAAAGAAAACAACGCTTCCTACAAGAAACTCTGAAGTTTTAGAGTTTTTGCAGAAATCCACTTGCCAGTACCCATTCTACAGAAAGGCAACACTTTGCGAAACCAATTCCCGTTTCCAGACGAAATGCACTCGCCATGGTGACAAGTAGGCGGAGTACTTTTCTACAGCATGATTTATTGGAGCTAAAAACTATTATAACTTTTTTCTTATTATAGCTAGCAAGATCCATTCTATTATTGTTTATGTGAAGCAATTTTATTTCACTGGAAGCCCACAAGAATAAGGGCCACATAATATTGAACGAAAAACAAAGTGACTGGTTGTGCAGCAATTTAATACTATGCTCATTCATGGAAACCATTGGACTTCTCCCTCAAATAAACGTTGCACATAATTAACACTTTGACATGAATAAGGTTAAGTTGGTAGGTAGCATACATTTTGATGTTACTCCGTATACCCTCACTTATTTTGCAATATTTTCACTTTTTTTATTTATTTATACATCTGGCACCGGCATGGCTGTCAGTCACTCACGGCTCGTCTTTCTCCAGGTTGCGCAGATGCTGGCAATTTTCCTTGGTTCTGGAGCAACAACGTGTCCTATCTTCGATGACGGCACAAACCCGGATATCTGCCCGGCTTTTCAACTGCTGTCGGATTGCTCCTCACCGCTGGATGTGCTAGCGCTGTCGGCACCGTCCGGCTACCGTTACTTCGTCTGGCAACCCGGGACACTACAAGACGGCGCAGGGCTACTTAAGCGACTACTGCAACCACCCACTTTGGGATCTGGCACCGGCATGGCTGTCAGTCACTCACGGCTCGTCTTTCTTCAGGTTGCGCAGATGCTGGCAATTTTCCTTGGTTCTGGAGCAACAACGTGTCCTATCTTCGATGACGGCACAAACCCGGATATCTGCCCGGCTTTTCAACTGCTGTCGGATTGCTCCTCACCGCTGGATGTGCTAGCGCTGTCGGCACCGTCCGGCTACCGTTACTTCGTCTGGCAACCCGGGACACTACAAGACGGCGCAGGGCTACTTAAGCGACTACTGCAACCACCCACTTTGGGATCTGGCACCGGCATGGCTGTCAGTCACTCACGGCTCGTCTTTCTTCAGGTTGGTTATTCTTATCGCCTTGTTAACGGAAAGCCGTTTAAAAAATTGGTGCCAGATCCCAACTCACTGTCGACTACGATTGTTCAAAATGTTTTCCTGCTGGGTGCAAAATTTTTGTCATGCATGCGTGTTGCTCGAATGTTGCTGCTTCTGTCTGGGGATGTAGAACAAAACCCGGGCCCTCTGACATCCCAACAAGAAAAAGAAATGTTTGATGTCATCATGACACTACCGTCAATGCAACAGCAACAGACTGAAATTCTTTCGGAAATTCGTTCCATTCGAGCCGACCAACAAGCACTCGAACAAAAGCTATCGCAACTGGCAGAAAAGGTCAAGCTCGTGGAAGATAACGTGTCCCCTTTACGGGATGACGTAACGCAACTACTCGCTCAAAATGAAGATCTTGCTGATACCTGCGCCAATTACGGGACTCGTATGAGGACCTAGATGGCAGATCTAGAAGAAACAATTTGATAGTTTATGGCCTTCCAGATACTGTAAATGAAACGTGGGCTCAGTCAGAGGCTCGAGTGATTGCCTTTTGCTCCGAAAAACTGAACGTGGCAATCAGCACTGCTGCCATTGAAAGAGCTCACAGGCTAGGACGCTACACAGCGGTAAAGGCAAGGCCCATAATTCTGAGGTTTTTGTCATTTAAAGACAAAGAACGTGTGCTTGCTGTTGCCTCAAAGCTGAAAGGAACTGAGTTCGCGTTGAGTGAGGACTATTCCAGTAAAGTTCGACAGGCAAGAAAGAAACTGATTCAGTTCGCCAAAGACCGTAAAGCAGAATACAAGTTGCATTTTAATAAAATGAAAATAGGCAACCAAACCTTCGTATATAATGCTGAAACCGACACCGTGACCAGGGATACTCGATAGCCACTAACGAATGCAGCTTACCGTAAAAAGAAGCCATCCGGCAAACACGATCTCGTATGTATTGTAGTAAATTGCAGAAGCCTCAAAAATAAAACTATAGAGTTCAGTTCCTTGATAGAATCAACAAATCCGCACTTAGTCATTGGTACGGAATCATGGCTCGACAACACAATTAGCGACAGCGAAATGTTTCCGTCTGGCTATACCGTATATAGGAAAGACCGTAATTGCCATGGTGGTGGTGTATTCGTTCTCATTCAAGATAGCATAGCTAGCAATTCTATAAGCATCGAAGCCGACTCATGCGAAACTGTCTGGTGTAAAATTTTGCTACAAAACGGTTCTTCTGTTGCCATTGGCTCATTTTATAGGCCGCCCGGTATAAAAACTGCCCATCCTCTCTTTCAGTTGAGCAACGTTTTATTAAGTTTGCAAACAACGCACGTAATTCTCGGAGGCGATTTCAACTTCCCGGATGTAGAATGGAAGTCCTTTAAACCCGTGTTAAACACAACGTCTTTCCTGTATACTACCTTTAGGGAGATGATTAATGCCCACTCATTATTTCAATTTGTCGAAACGCCAACAAGAATTGGTGGTGACAGTGCAAACATTCTTGATTTATTTTTGTGCAGTGAACCGGCTCTTGTATCCTCTGTTGTCACAGTCCCTGGTATCAGCGACCATGAAGTTGTTGTCACTAAAATGTCTTGTAGTGCTAAAAACCGCCGCGCTCAGGCACCCCGCAAAGTGTTCTCATATGAAAAAGGTGACTACCCATCACTGTCGCGTGAACTGGATGCATTTTTTCCTGAGTTCCAATCGCATAGTTCATCGTTAGACATGAATGCGCAGTGGAATTTCTTCAAAACAAAGATAATGTCCTTGACCCAAACTTTCATTCCTTCGTGTATCATTTCGGCCAGGCGACGCAATGATAAACCATGGCTCAGTAGGGAACTCCGATCAAAGATAAATAGAAAGAATCGATTGTATCGAAAGTATTGCCAAGTGCCTGATCCTGCGTTGCTTTCAAAAATGAAAGAGATAGGCAAAGTGGTGACAAAAGCTATGCGCAGAGCACAAGAAATGTACCTTTGTGATCTAGGCGAGAAACTTAAAACCAACCCCAAGGAAGTGTGGAAATACGTGAAAAATAAAAGTAATTCTAGACCCACTATTCCTGACATCATGGACGGGATAAATTACGAATCTAACAAGGAAGCCAAAGCTCAGGGTTTCAATACATACTTTCAGTCTGTGTTCTCGCATCCAGTTAACACATGTAGTCTATGCCAGAATGATGGCTCGCTCCCGCAAATGAACGACATAGAAATTGCCGAACGCGGTGTCGTGCTCTTGTTGGAAAAAATAAATGTTCACTCTGCTCCTGGTCCTGACTGTATATCCAACTTCGTCTTGAAAAACTGCGCAGTGTCTATCGCCCCTTTTTTAACTCTCATGTACAAAACGTCGCTTGAACAATGCGTTTTACCGCTGATTGGAAAAATGCCAACGTAACCCCAGTATATAAAAGCGGAGATAAAACAAAAAAGTGTAACTACAGGCCCATTTCTCTGACAAGCGTATGCTGCAAGACACTCGAACATATCATTTACACAAACTTAATGAATCATCTTCAAAGTAATAACTTCTTTTCCCCATTGCAACACGGTTTCAGGGCGGGTTTCTCGTGCGATACACAACTGGTCGAGTTCACGCACGACATTGCAGCTTCTATTAACTCAGGCCTTCAGGTTGACTGTATATTTCTGGATTTCCAGAAGGCATTCGATTCCGTGTCACATGTGTTGTTGTTGCAAAAGCTTCATTGTCTAGGCATACCTAATGCCCTTCTCATGTGGATTGAGGCGTATCTTTCAGAAAGACAGCAGTGCGTGATTCTTGACGGTGTGTGCTCATCAAGCGTCGGTGTATTGTCAGGAGTGCCACAAGGGTCAGTTTTGGGGCCCCTGCTTTTTCTTATTTTTATAAATGATATCTCCGACAATCTCTCTAGCCGTGTTCGATTGTATGCTGACGATTGCTGCATTTACAGTAACATTACCTCTGAAGCGGACACCGTTCAATTGCAGAATGACTTGAACTCCATAGTTTCTTGGTGTGATTCATGGAGAATGACACTAAATCTGTCGAAGTGTAAATTGGTGAGGTTTACGAACAAAAAACAGCCTCGGATTTCAAATTACGTCATGGCCGGGGCTACCTTGCCGGTTGAAACAGAATATAAATATCTAGGGGTCATTTTTTCTGCCAACCTATCTTGGAACGCTCATATTAATTACTTAACATTAAAGGCTAGTCGAGTGCTAAATTTTTTGAGGCGCAATTTCAGACAGGCACCAACTAAGTTGAAAGAAACACTATACATATCCAATGTGCGTCCCATATTAGAATATGCCTGCAGTGCCTGGGACCCCTCAACAAAATCAAATATAGAAGCCCTGGAGCGTGTACAGGCACGCGCAGCACGCTTTGTGGCAAGCAATTATAACTTTACCATAAGATCAGCTGACATTCGTTCAGGATTGCAATGGCCTCTGTTAGCTGACCGGCGAAAATACCTACGACTGTCCCTATTTTACAGCATATTCATGAACAAAACAGGCATCGACAAGGATCAGTATATAAAGCCACCTACCTATGTGTCACCCCGTACTGACCATTCTTTAAAACTGCGTGAATACACTTCCAGGATCAACGCATTCAAATACGCTTTTTTTCCAAGAACCACGCATGAGTGGAACGGCTTGCCAGAGGAAATTGTCTCTGCGCCTCCCTTATCTTTTGTTAAAAATTTGCACAATTTTTTGTTGAACTAATCATTACTGTATTTCTGATACGTTCCGTACTAATTATTTTTTTGTGTTTTTATTGCCCTATGTTACCAATAGCACTCTTCTCTTTCAACGTTTTGCTTTGTATTTGCAATTTGATGCCTTATTTATGACAGTGTTGTTTCACTTTGTTATGACTATGTTCTTTCAAACGATACAGCCTTTTATCCGCAACCATCTTTTTCGGTATATCGACTGTACTGTATTCTTTTGCTTGTTCTCCCCCCTACAATAATGCCCGTAAGGGCGATGTAGGTACATGTATAAATAAATAAATAAATAAAAACAGCCAATCGCGCTAGCCAATTGCGCCACGGAGACAGTCCTGCTCCACTCTCACCACCATCAGAACATATCTTCAAAGCTATCAGCACAAAGAAAAAAAGCGCCGCACCACCCCCGGGTGGGCTCGAACCTCCAACCTTTCGGTTAACAGCCGATCGCGCTATCCAACTGCGCCACGGAGACAGTCGTGCTCCACTCTCACCACCATCAGAACATATCTTCAAAGCTATCAGCGCAAAGAAAAAAGCAACACACCACTCCCGGAAGGGATCAAAACTCCAACCTTTCGGTTAACAACCGATCGCGCTAGCCAATCGCGCCAAGGAGACAGTCCTGCTCTACCCTCACCACATCAGAACATATCTTCAAAGCTATCAGCCCAAAGAAAAAAAAGCGCCGCACCACCGCCGGGTGGGCTCGAAACTCCTGCCTTTAGGTTAACAGCCGATCGCGCTAGCCATTGCGCCACGGAGACAGTCCTGCTTCACTCTCACCACCATCAGAACATATCTTCAAAGCTATCAGCCCAAAGAAAAAAAAAAAAGCGTCATACCACCACGGGTGGGCTCGAACCTCCGACCTTTTGGTTAACACCGATCGCGCTCGCCAATTGCGCAATGGAGACAGTCCTGCTTCACTCTCACCACCATCAGAACATATTTTCAAAGCTATCAGCCAAAGAAAAAAAGCACCGCACCACCACCGGGTGGGCTCGAACCTCCAACTTTTCGGTTAACAGCCGATCGCGCTAGCCAATTGCGCCACGAAGACAGTCCTGCTCCACTCTCACCACCATCAGAACATATCTTCAAAGCTATTACCGCAAAGAAAAAAGCAACACACCACTCCCGGGAGGGCTCAAAACTCCAACCTTTCGGTTAACAGCCGATCGCGCTAGCCCATTGCGCCACGGAGACAGTCTTGCTCCACTCTCACCACCATCAGAACATATCTTCAAAGCTATCATCGCAAAGAAAAAAGCAACACACCACTCCCGGGAGGGCTCGAAACTCCAACCTTTCGGTCAACAGCCGATCACGCTAGCCCATTGCGCCACGGAGACAGTCTTGCTCATCTCTCACAACCATCAGATCATATCATCAAAGCTATCAGCCCAAAGAAAAAAAAGCACCGCACCACCACCGGATGGGATCGAACCTCCAACTTTTCGGTTAACAGCCGATCGCGCTGGCCAATTGCGCCACGGAGACAGTCCTGCTCCACTCTCACCACAATTAGAACATATCTTCAAAGCTATCAGCCCAAAGAAAAAAAAAGCGCCGCACCACCACCGGGTGGGCTGGAACCTCAACCCTTTCGGTTAACAGCAGATCGCGCTAGCCAATTGCGCCACGGAGACAATCGTGCTCCACTCTCACCACCATCAGAACATATCTTCAAAGCTATCAGCCCAAAGAAAAAAAAGCGCCGCACCACCACTGGGTGGGCTCGAACCTCCGACCTTTTGGTTAACAGCCGATCGCGGTAGCCAATTGCACCACGGAGACAGTCCTGCTCCACTCTCACCACCATCAGAACATATTTTCAAAGCTATCAGCCCAAAGAAAAAAAAGCGCCATACCACCACAGGGTGGGCTCGAACCTCCGACCTTTTGGTTAACAGCCGATCGCGCTAGCCAATTGCGCCATGGAGACAGTCCTGCTCCACTCTCACCACCATCAGAACATATCTTCAAAGCTATCAGCCCAAAGAAAAAAAAGCACCGCACCACCACCGGGTGGGCTCGAACCTCCAATTTTTGGTTAACAGCCGATCACGCTAGCCAATTGCGCCACGGAGACAGTCCTGCTCCACTCTCACCACCATCAGAACATATCTTCAAAGCTATCAGCCCA